GAGGACCAGGCTTGCAATCAGGAAGAGCCTGGGTTCAAATCTTGCTTCTGACTCTTGGCATCGTATGTGATCGCGGACAAGCCATCTCGCTACTTTCAAACTCAGTTTCCTCCTCTGTGAAATGGAGATAATAGCATCTCTCTCAGCTGCTTCACAGGCTTGTCTTGAGGCTACAATTAGATTATATAGGTATGTGTTTACAAGCTACAAAGTACTAAAAAAGGCAGCTTCCCCATCTGTGAACTCATCATTGCCTCAGTTTCTCTGGTCTTACCAAGAGACTTTTCTCCTCCATCAAGATTCCTTTCTGCCAGACTGAGCTCCATATTTGGAGACCTGAGGAGAGGTAGGATAATGCCTGGCCGCTTGTACGTGTCCCGGGCTGTGGTCAGCAGCTGTCCTGCTGGAGCTGGGCCCTGGGCTCACCCACAAGTCTGAACAAAGACCAGTATGGTGTCTGTCCACCTCACAGCCTGCTCCCACCCCCAGAGTCTCTCCGGATCTGCCTTAATCTGTCTGCTGCCCACAAGGCCCTAAGATAGACAGTAAACACAACCAGGCAAACACAGTCCTGAAAACACCACAGAATTTTTAGGTGGTTGTTTTTTTCCAACTGGCTTCATCTTTCCAACTCCCCACGAGCTCCAAAATGCTCCCTTTTCATGGATCATTAGTAGGCTCATCTTGTTTGGGCAATCCTTTAAAGGTTCACTGGGGTTTGTCTGATTCAGTATCAATTATTCCTGAAGGAAAGGGTAAGCTGGGTGGATAGGCATCCAAGCCTAGACCTAAATAGCTAGAGCTACGGTATCATCTCAAATAGCCATGGCCCAATATTCCCAATACGGTCACTAATGGGTTTGAAAACAGCTTTGCAAAAGCCTTGTTAAATAAACAATAAACTGGGGCCCATCAGTTGAGGAATGATTAAGCAAACTATGATATATGGATTAATGGAATATTCTTATACCATAAGACAAGTATAAGGAATTTAGAGAAACACTTGGGAACTGATGCAAAGTGAAATAAGATGAACCAGGATAATTATCAAAAGAATGTATGTGAAAACTATTCTAAAAGGAAGTCTAACTATGAATCTGTCAGTCAACAATCATTTATTAAGCACCTACTGTGTTCCTGGCACTGTGCTGAGAGCTGCGGATACAAAAGAGACAAAAGGCAGTCCCTGCCCTCAAGGAGCTTACAATCTAACGGAGGAGACAACAAGCAAACAAATATGTACCAAAAGCTATCTATAGGATAAATAGTTAATTACTATTTTATATTATATTTTGTATTATATACAATTATATTATATATTATAATTATAGGATAATCTGTTAATTACTTCAACAGAGGGAAGGCACTAGAGTTAGGAGGGGTTGGGAAAGGAGATAAACGATGGGATTTTTTAAAGGAAGCCAAGGAAATCAGTAGGCAGAGTTGAGGAGAGAAAGCATTCCAGGCATGTGGGACAGCTAGAGAAAATGCCCAGAGCTGAGAGGTAGAGGATCTTGTTTGTGTGACAGCCAGGAGGTCCCGTTTCACTGGATTAAAGAGTACATTTTGGGGAGTTAGGTAAATGAAGACTTGGAGCGGGCTAGGTAATGAAGGGCTCTGCATGCCAAACAGAGCATCTTGTATTTGCTCCTGAAAGCAATAGGGAGCCAGTGCAGTGTATTGAGGTGGGGTATGTGTGTGTGTGTGTGTGTGTGTGTGTGTGTGTGTGTGTGTGTGAGACATGGTCAGACCTTCATTTTAGGAATATCATTTTGGTTGGCTGAATGGAGGATGGCAGTCAGACCCATCCTCAGGCTATTGCAATAGTCCAGGAGATCAGGGTCTACATGGGGATGGGGGCAATGCCAGAGGACAGAAGGGGCCATATTTGAGAGATCCTGAAGAGCTGATCCTTAGCAAAAGCTTACATATGGGGGTGAGGGAAAGTGAGGAATCCAAGATGACTTCTAGGTTGAGAGCCCAAGGGCCTGGGAGGATGGTGTTACCCTGTGTAGTAACATGGAAGGTGGAGAAGTAGAGTTTAGGGGGAAAGAATGAGTTCTGCTTTGGACACGTTGAGTTTAAGATGTCTACTGGACATCCAGTTAGAGATATCTCAAAGGTAGTGGAGATGCAAGTTTGGAAGTCAGCAGAAAAGCTAGGTATGAGTAGCCATAATGACCAGCCTTGGTCCTGGAGACCAGATGAAGCATATTTCTCTCCTTTCAGTAGAAAAGTAGAAGGACTACATTATGGGATATTGAATAACTGGTCAGATCTGGTCATTGTGTGGGTTGACTTTGCTTAACTGTCTTTCTTTGTTAGAAAAGAGGAGTCATGGACAGTGAGTGTGGAAGGAACAGGACAGGTCCAGAAATGATCATATAAAATAAAATATATCAATAAAATCAAATTTAAAATGAAATAAAATATACCTATTAATTAGTCGCTTCTACATTTTCTAATAGTGCTTTTAAATATCTGCCTAGCATAGTGCCTGGCCCTCAGGAGATACTTAATAAATGCATGCTGACATTATCACATTTACAAACATATTATATATTAATATATTGGTGTAAATATTAATACATTAGATTATTATATGTTATATACAAATACTCTTATAAATACATGCATAATCTCATCCATTCTCACAACAAACTTATGAGGTAAGTACTAGAGTTATTATGGTAGTTTCCATTTTATGAATGAAAAAACTAAAGGTCTAAGAAATGATGCAACCTTTCCATGCTTATATAACACAGCTAGTCTGTGTCAGAGGCATAGTGGTGACCCACGGCTTGATGGCCAGCTCTCCATCACTGCCCGAGGGTGCCTTTTACTTAGGAGGAGTCCAACCCCTTTAGTACAGATCAGTTGTAGAATTAGAAAATTGACCTTTATGAGAGAACAGTGGATAGGTCAGATGGAGAGAATGGTGAAGGTGGTGAAGACAGATGAAGGAGTAGGGTAGAAGCTGAGAGCAAGTAGATTATTCTAAATAGAAGAGGAGGCAAAGAAGACAGGCATCCTTCATCCTATGTTATCATCTTCCCTAAGGCAGCTAGGTGGTGTAGTGGAAAGATTGTTGGGCCTCGAGTCAGGAAGACCTGAGTCCAGCCTCAGACACTTACTAGCTGTATGACACTGGGCAAGTCACTTCACCTTGTTTGCCTCAGTTTCCCCATCTGTCAAATGAGCTGGAGAAAGAAATGGCAAACAACTCCAGCATATCTGCCAAGAAAACCCCAAAATGGGTCACAAAGAGTTGGACATGACACTAACAAAAGGGTCATCCCTGAGTGCCCATGAAGTCATCTTAGGCACTTGGATTCCATTTCTCAGAGGAAGATGCAGCTATCTTCTGGATTGGATCATCTGAAGGCAATGGGCCTCAGGGATACCAGCCATGGAGTTGGAGTCAGAAAACCAGGCTTCAAAACTTGGCCCTGGCACTGACTTCCTGTGTGATTTGGGACAATCAGTCCCTTAACTTCTCTGGTCCTCTGTACACTGAGTTTGGGACCAGAAGCCCATTAAGCTCCTTTCCGTCTCTGAATCTGTGCTCCTAAATCAGCATAACAGGGGCCCACGAGGCCCCTATGTGGATGTTGCCAGAGAAGTTCCTCTCCCCTTCCTCCTCCCGGCTATTGATCGCCACCCTTCCTCTCACTGCCTGGCTCTTCCCTGCCCTGCTAAACTTGTCTGCCCTGCATTCTATCCTCTCCTGGGTCAATGCATCAGCTCTCCAAGCTAACAAACTGATCTGTGCTCAAGGGAGAAAGTGCCTTCCAACAAAGACTAGACGCAGTGTCCCTGACTGAACAGGCCATTAGCAATTGGATTCCAGTCTTTTCTTCTTCAGGATGAACAATATATCTGAAACCAGAGGAATAACATGGAATGGGACACAGTGGGCTAAAAGTAAACAAATAAATAACAACGTACCTTAAAAAATTAAAAGTAACTCCTGTCAAAGCAACCAACCTACAAATAAGAAATTGGATGACACGAGATGTATTGTCTCATATTTACTTAGATTTAAATGTTGAAAAAAATTAAAAATAGATTTAAATGTTGGTCACATCTAAGGGGCAAAAACCACTGGAGGGCACAATTATAAGTTATATGGAGGTACCATTATTTAAAGATGATCCCAGAAAATAGAAACTTCTTCTATTTGTGCTTTTTCCAGAGTCAGACAGTTGAATACCACATCCTTTTAAATGACTTTGTATTTCTGAAATTAACTGGAATGTGATGCTTCTGGAAGACTAGGAGAAGAAGGTCTTAGTCTTAGATTAGGTCCATTCAGCTTAAAAAATCCTGACTCTGAGCACCTCCTGTGGGCAAAGGTCTGGGGCAGCCACTATGATTCATACAGAGGCAAAAGGAGATATATCCCCCTGCCCTCCCAGGGCTCACAGTCTGCTTGTGGTGGCTGATCATATGTGTTGCCATTAAGGCTTCAGCCATCTCATTGGAGCGAAACTTTGCTTGGAAGACAACTCTCTGGGTGAGCTGAAATTTGCCATGCCGATCTCTCTCCCTCTATACACATCTAACTAGAATCAAGGGTAAATGCCGAGTCATCTGCAGTCAGCAGCATCATGAGTCAATAATGGTTCTCCTTTCCATTGGAGGACTGGCCTCCACCCCTCTCTCACAGGGAAGTCCCCCAGGACAGATCCCCAGGTTCAAGGTACCTTGGGGGGATTCCCTAGCTACCAATTGCTGTAAGTCCCTGGAGATACACATCTTAGACTTTTTCCATGTTGTCCTCAGTGCCTTATGCTTGGCACACAGTAGGTACTCTCTAAGTCCAGGGCGAATGTTGAACGGATGGACATCATAAACCATGAGTCCAGAGACACAATGGGGGCGATGGAATCCTTCTCTGGTCTCCTCTTTCAACAGGCTAAGAGGAGGGGCTCAAGAGGGTGGGTCTATATTTAGCTCCTTGACGTCAGCTGGATGTCAGTCTCTTTAGAGAGGCTCAGTCCTCACTTCATGTTGGTGTGAGGTACCATGCAGACCCAAGCACAAGGATAGAAGCTGCCTGGGCCCAGCTCCCCATCCATATCCCTCCGACTCCAAAACCTCCACCCATTGGCCAGCCTTCTTCCTTGCTGCAAAACAAGATCAGACAACCTGGTGAGTAGAACGTTTCTCCAACTCTTGGTTCTGGTCTTCCAGAGAGACAGTCACCCCCTCATCATTCAGAAATGGGCATTCTCCTTTCTTTTCATGGCCGGTGGCTGGCACCCAGGTGTAAAGGCCAGCCTCTGGTTCACTGGCACCTCACTCCTCCTTCAGGCATTGTCCTAGAATCTGTGCATGTACTGTCGATGCTAGGAGAAATGACAAAGTGACAGGCAGAATATAATGAATCCTGGATTGCAAACAAAGGAAGAAACAGTGGGAGGGTGGGGAAAGGAGGTGGATTCTTGAATATTTCGCAGTGACCTGGTGTGTGCTGGACCTGTGTTCAGGAGGACCCTTTGCTCCATGAGCCATCATCAATCGGTGCCTGTCATCAGACAGGGATGCAGATCGAGGGCTGCTACTAATGTCTCTGAGACCTCCAGCCCAGCCCCCACCCCCACGAGCACCTTCCCTCTGAGATGACCTCCTGTCATCTCCCTCCACCATCTGCATGGAGCACGTACATTGTTTGCATGTTGTCGCCTCTGTTAGAACGAGCATTTGTTCTGGGCAGCTGGGTTGTTCCTGCCTTTCTTTATAGCCCCAGTGCTAAGCACAGTGCCTGGCACAAATGCTTATTGATGGACTGATGCTCAGAGATGGTGGCTGAGGAAAGATGCCACAGATTGACCCTCTCATCCGGGCTCAATCTTTCCTTGTTGTGTGCCTTTCTTTCTCTTTCAGCAGGGAAGCTGCCGTGGAATATTAACAACCAGCACCTTGGAAAAGCAGAGGAAGCAAGAGGCAGCAATCATGAAGGAAACTCATGGAAACGGTAGAAAGCCGGTCCTCGGGGGGCACCTAACCCTGTTCCGATCCTTCCTAACACACCTGACTCTGTTTCCCTCCAATCGCTGTGTCTGGTCGTGCTGTCATAAATAATCTCGGTGCTGGACTCAAGGGATGGGAGAGCCCACGGCCAAGTCCCTCCGCCTTTTGTAGTTGTCCTTTTTCATGGGAAAGTTATTTCCAGATGAACAACTGTTCCAAAGGCATGGAGCCACGGGACAGCTGAGGGACATTCTGCCTGCTTTGCCGTTCAGAATTTAATCTGAAGTTCTCTTAATTGCATTGGGTTGGGTGAGGTCCTAGAAAAGCTTGTCATCATTGGCCACCCAAAGAGGCTCATCTCTGGGGGTGGGTTGGTTAGTTTTCTTCTCTTTCTGTTGTTTGAGGCATTTTTGGAGTTTCTTTGGTTTCCCATTTCTCACTTTTCACCTGCCCTGCCCTTCATTGTCTTATCAATGCTTGCCTTCCTAACTGAAGCACTGAGACATTTGGGGTAGGAAGGAAGTTTTAGTCTCTGTATGCTATCCTCATGAAAACAGGAAAATATTTGTCATATCAGTATGGCATGGCGGACAGGACTTTGATTTTGGAGTTAGCAAATCCCACCTCAAATCCCTGTAGCACCTTGGGCAAATCACTTAACTCCTCTGGGTCTCAGGTTTGCCATCTGTAAAATGGGGGGTCGGACTAGCTGTCATTTAAGGTCTATTCCAGCTCTGTTATATGTGACTCGAACCTATTGATCCTTTTAGAAAAGTCCTGTGGTTTTAGTTTCACTTTTTTCCTCTTTGCCTCCTCCATCTTGTCAACACAAAAGTCAGGTCAATGAGCTTGTCACTGATCAAAGTCAGCCTCAGAGCTCAGGCAATAGCCAGCAATAGCCAATTTTCCTGGTTGGGGTTGAGCACGTTTGGGTACCAGAGAGAAGGATTGGGCGTTTCCAGTATCTTCCTGGTGATTTTCAGGAAACCTAAGTAGCTTCATTCTCCCATGTGAGCATTTACACATCTCTGGGAAAAGACAAGGACATCATTTAATTGATCTATGTCTTCACGCTTTGCTCTCTATAAAGCAAGCTGAATAATACAAGCAGACATTTCTTAGATATGACAATGTGGGGTAGTGGATGGAATGCTGGACATGGAATCAGAAAGACCTGGGTTTGAATCCTGCCTTCAACACTCAGTAGCTTGGGCAAATCATTTAACCTTTCCCTGCCTCAGTTTCCTCTTCTGTAAAATGGGCAAGTCACTTCGCTTCTCTGTGTGTCCGATGTAAAATGGGGATAATGGTACCTTCAGTATCTATCTCACTAGGTTGCCTGCAAAGTTCGATTGACACAATATGTGGAAAGTGCTTTGGAATCCTTAGAGCATGGTGGAAATTTCAGCTGTTATTCTGAGGACATAGGTTATAGTTTGACCTGAAGAGTCTGATTTTGAAGAATTTGTTTTTACTTTGTGGAAAGAGAAAGTGATGAATCAGGAGAGGGCTCCCAGCTCCCAGCTCACCCTTCTGAGGAAGAGCTCCAGTCAGAGCCCAGGGTTACTAAAGGATAAAGTGAGCTTGAACTGGAGTCCAAGCCCCAGATCAGATCTTTAGGACCCCACAGTGCAGGTATTGTCTTTGCCCTCCCTTCATGTCCTTCCTAGGACACGAAGGTGATCTGGTCGTTGTTCCCTTGATCAATCACATCCCACAGAGTCCAACGTCCAGACCGAGTTCGGTCCTGAGTCAGTTTCGTGTCTAAGCGTCTCACCGTTCCAATTTGATTTCCAAGCGGCCAGAGGCGCAGGTGTCAATCAGAAATCCCTCCTGGTCTAAACAAATCAATTAACAACTGTAGGTCTTTCCCAGGTGTTGACATGAAGGGCCAAAGCGCAGGGTAGGGTCGCTGCTGTTCTGGGTTCAGAGACAGATCTAGGAATGGAAGAAAGCTTCCTCCATGGCCCAGATCTAAACTATTTATGAAGTATGTTCTTGGGAAGCCAGCCCACGTCCAACAACCCTAAGAGGAAGGCTGTAGGGCCTGATGTGGAGCAAGGCTCCTGAGGTGGGAGGGCCTGGCGGGACACTTGCCAGCTGTCCCTCACACAGTCACATGCCGTGCCTTGGCTGGAGTGTTAACTATTCCTGATAACCGGGGGACAATCAGAACACGTCCTGTGCGCCTGGCAGAGAAAATAGCTGCTGTGCTTCAGAAAAGGGCTGATTCCTCCCTTTCCTTTCGGATTTCCTCTTCTAACCTCTATGCATTGTGCTTGGGAAAGGGCACCGCAGAGGGGCCCAGGGCTAAACCGGGGCTTTGCAAGGACTGCTGAGTTTGGAAGCAGAGGACCTGGGCTTGTGGGTCCTGCCACATGTCAAGAGTCTCTCCCTGCCTCAGTTTCTTTATTTATCAATTGAAGGGTTAGACTGGATCAGAGAGGCAAACACTGAAGGACCCAGTGTAATTGGAAAATATTTAACAAAATAGATAAAAATGCAATAGAACATAGATAATATTTCGATGTGGTTTTCTAAGTAAATATGCTGCTCCCCCTACCAAAAAAGGGTCCTTACATATTGTTCTATTTCTACTTGAGTTTTACATCTCTTGACTAGGTAACCTCTAAATTCCCTTCTGGCTTGGGAGCCTACAATGCTTTGTATTTGTTCCCCCAAAAATGGATGCCATCTGTTAGACCCTGGGCCTCCTCCTCCTCAGAGCTGAGCCAGGGCTCATCAAAAATCCTGGGGTGTGTCGGCGTGCCTCCAGGGCTTTTCTGGAGGATTTATGGAAAAGCTCAGGGGCCGCCTGTCTAGAGCAGCAAGTACTTGGATCATTTGGTACCAATCGGGACAGCGTTTTGATCCTAATTCCCTAGGCAAACATCTGACCTTGAGGAATGGTCCCTACACAGATGCGGCGCTCTCTTCCTCCCTCCCTCAGCCAGGGACGCATTTCGCAAGCCTACAGATCTTCAATAACGCAGCTCAGAATTCTTCTGCCTCCTACCATTTTGTTTTTAATGTCGTTAAACATTTCCAAAGATAGCAGCATGCAGGTAGGAAACAGTAGCAGAGCTAGGAAAAAGAGGTAGACACAGACAAGTGAAATGCGTAAAAGGGCTTGTGCACTTGGGGACTGGGACCGTAGGGGTCAGAGGATGATGGGATCGTAGCCCTACAGCCAGAAGGCATCTCAGAGGTCATTGAGTCCGACCCTCCCACTTTACAGATGAGGAAACTGGGATCAGAAAAGGGAAGTGAATCACCAAAGCCTTTGCATAGTGAGCATCATAGGTGGGATCTGAACCCAGGTTTCCTGTGCCCAGAGCCTGTGCTCTGGCCAATAAATAAATAAACAACTAAATGAATAGATAGATAGATAGACAGATGGAAGACAGACAGACAGACAGATAGATAGATAGATAGACAGATAGATAGATGTGAAACAATGAAATAAACAAAGGGACCAGAGAATTCTGGGCTGAAAGGGACCTTAGAGAACTTGGGATCATAGACCTAAAACTGTAAGAGACCTCAGAAGACACCTAGGCCAGCCCCCTCATTGTATGGAAAAGGAAACTGAGGCCCAGAGAGTGGAAGAATCTTGCCCAAGGTCACACAGATACAAGTGGCAGAGCTGGGGTTTGACCCTAGGTAGGAGTGGGCTTGTGGTGAATGTTTAACAACTGGCTGCGGAAGGGGCGGAAGAATGTACCACATGATGCACTTTTCAGGATCATCTGCTTCAATGATATTTTCTCCTTCACTCGCTTAAGTCTAGAGAATCAACAAAACAGTCAATCAAACTGATTTCTGAGGGGTAAAGGCTCACACTGAAAATTTAATGATAGGCTCTCTCTGTGTCTCTCTTCTACATCTCTCTGACTCTGTCTCTCCCCCCTCTGTCTCTTTCTTTCTCTCTCTTTGTCTCTGTGTCTCTCTCTCTATTTCTTTCTCC